AACCGAAAATAATTTTTCCACAACGATTTGCAATTTTTTAATTTTCTCGAATAATTTCACACCTTCTCTATTTTTTTTCTCGAAAGTGGGCAGGATTTCGTGGGTATGTCTAATGACAAAAACTGATTGCAATTGACCCCCGCAACCGAAAATAATTTTTCCACAACGATTTGCAATTTTTTTTCTCCGTTGAAAAATTTAGGCACCTAATTGGATTTTCAGTAAGGAATTTTTTTCTCGAAAGTGCGTACAATTTCGGAGGTATGTGTAATGATAAAAAATGATTGTAATTGATCCCCGCAACTGAAAATAATTTTTTTAGAACGATTTGCAATTTTTGAATTTAATTGTTAATAACTTTTTAACGAAGCTTCCATCAACAAATTAGTATTCTTGATTTTCGTCTTATTTTGGCCTCTACTATTGCTCATTAAAATTTTTGCTAGAGGTGGCCGAACACCCTGTATAGCAGCCACTCTTTAACAATATACGATGTATGTTTAGGATCATTGTCCTGTTGGAAATAATATATGACTGGCATGTTTAATTTTAGAGCTGACGATTTCAAATTTTTTTTTCAAAATATCAAGATATTTTAGTTTGTCCATAGTTGTTTCAATAAATTCGCTATTACCGACTCCACTTGCTGCCACACATCCCCAAAGCATTATTGAACCTCCGCCGTGTTTTACAGTAGGAACCGTATTCTTTTGATCGAACTCTGAATTCGGTTGTCTCCATACTATTATTTTTCCATCCGAATTAAATAAATTAATTTTAACTTCGTCGGAAAATATTACGTTCTTTAAAAAATTTATATCACAACTTACATATTTTTTTGCAAATTCCAAACGCTTGATTCTATTCACCTTAGAAATACAAGGCTTCTTCCTTGCTACCCTACCGTGATAGCCTTTATCACGTAGCACCCTACGAACAGTTTCCGTCGATATCGATTTTCTAATCCTCGATGAAACATCTGTTGTTAATTTTGGTACACTACTTTTTGGATTAATTTTAATTTGTCGTATTATGTACCGTTCGTCAGTTCCAGTCAGAATTTTTTTCCTTCCGCGTCCTGGCTGATTATGCAGTGTACCATTGTATTTGTAATTGTTAATAATTTTTTGTAAAGTAGAGTGGGCTCTACCTATTGTTTTTCCAATTTGCCTTAGAGATTTACCTTGACAATACAATTTGACAACTAATTTTCGCACAGAAATATCAGTTTCTGATCTTTGTGAAGCCATAGTGCAAATTTTCGCTAATAAACAATGACAAATGAAAATCAAACGTATCATAGCAACGGAACTATGTTACTAGATACAATCGAATGAATTGTAAACCATGAGAAGTTTTACAAAAGTTAGTTTTCTAGTTACTAATAAACTGTACGCTCAATTTTGTGACGATAAAATATGCATACTTTTGCAGTTTTTGTTAAACACAGATGAACAATCAATATTGTTTAAAAATTTTTTCACGCATTAACTGCTGAAATGTACAAGTAAAATGTATAATGCGTTTTTACTTTTAAATATGTCTGTTATGTTCATTTTCCCACAAGTTTTTACTCAATTTTTTGAGTAACTGTATGTATAGGAAAAAGTTGTTCAAAATGTTGATTTCTACAACATATTTAAAAATCATCGAAATCTGTGAGACCCCACCTTTTCTAAATAATTACCGAACTTTTAAGTGTCGATCCTCAAATGTTAAGACGCATTTAGAATCTGCGAGACATAAATTTTTATTAACTGATTTAAATTTTGATACAACGGAACGTCCGACGGAGACTGTTACATCTCCATGTTTTAACATTGAAAAATTGAAACCATGGTTGCGTAAAGTCGACGGCGTTCCGTCTTCTTGTTGTTGCTCAGTTTGTGAGATAAGATTAAAGCCGCGTTTATATATTTTAAATCGCCGTGCAGATTCTAAATGCCATCTTGAGAACTTGGCAAAAAATAGAATAGACGTGACTAGATCGAATGATTTCAATACGCATCGGAAGGATCGGCTCTGTCGTTCGAGGAACAGCGGCGTAGCGCGGATATTCAGTATGCAGCTTTAATAGCTACATTGAATCTCCCGTTTAAAGTCGCGGGCCGGATCCTTGAGTACTTTCAAATTGTGCCAAAACCGATTTTGGACAGTATGAAAATAAGTCGAACAAAGTGTACCAATATTATAACGAAGGTTCTGTATCCCTACGAAACAGGTCGTCTTTTTATTGTTCTACGGAACAATAAATTTTCAATTTTTATTGACGAGACGTCGGACTCGACGAATGAAAAATGGATGACGCTTCTAGTTCGTTACGTTGATCCCACGACTATGGATGTACGATCGGAATTATTAAAATTAATTAATCTCGACGCGAAAGATTGTAGTTCCGAAAAGATATTTGAAACATTTAAACATGAAATGTGGAAAAAAGAAATTCCGATTAAAAACATCCTTGCCTTATCATGCGACAATGCGCCTGTCATGGTAGGGCAATATTGCTCGTTCAAGACTGCTCTTGAAAAAATTCTCGGCGATAACTTTTTAACTTTGAGATGTCCTTGCCATTCCTCTGCATTGGTAGTGCGCGCAGCGTGCAGTACCCTTCCAGACGAATGTGAGGACGTTTTACATCAGGCAGTAGGTTTTATATATTCCAGCCCGAAACGGACTGCAATATTCCGCGAGTTTCAAAAATGCTATCAAATTAAAAGCCGAAAGATTTCAAAATTGTGCACTACGCGCTGGCTTTCCCACCACGCGGCTGCAACTTCATTATTAGATAATTGGGATTGTATTATATTATATCTTCGAGAATTTGTCTTGAGCGAGAAAACAAAGTCTGGGGAAAGTCTTCTTATCTTGTTACAAAATCCAGAAATAAAAACATATATCTATTTTTTGAAATATGCTCTTGGCTTTTTCGTTAAATTTAATATATTTTTTCAAAGCCAAGAAACCAGGATCCATTTGCTTCAACAATCTGCAATATCTCTTTTGCAATGCAAGCTGCGAAACTTTTTGAATCAAATCAAGCTTGATGAGATATGCGTTGGTTCGGAATGCGGTAGCTTCCTCAATGAATTGATCGAGGAAGGCAAATCCGATATTGCTAAAACCGTTCGGAAACATTGTTTGAATTTTTATATTACAGCTGCAAATGAAATTCGCCATCGATTGCCAATCAATGACAAATTTCTCAGCAGTCTACGTATATTCAGCCGTCAATGGGCATTAATTAATAGAAACAGAGACAATTCCTTCAGAGTTGTTCTCTATATTGCAAACAAATTCGACGGTTTCGATATAAAAGGTTTGCGAAAAGAATGGTTTGGCCTACATCTGGATTTTGATACTAAAGAAAAGGAGATGCTTTCTAGTAAAAAATTTGATGGCTTATGGAAAATGATCTTGTTAACGCGAAATGAAAACAATGAATTTAAATGGGTAAATTAATCAATTCTATTAGATCTTTACCGAATTCGAATGCCGAAGCTGAAAGAATATTTTCCATATTACCAGACGTGAAAACTAGAAAGCGTAGTAGACTTTGTTCAACTTCCGTGAGTGCCGTTTGTGTATTGAAATCGTCGTTAAAGACGTCAGGGGGAAAATATCGAACCATAGAGGTAGATGAAAAACATCTATCTCTAATGAGTTCCACAAATTTATATTCAACACCTGCTAAGAGGCAGAAATATCAATTACGAATTCATGCCGTAGATGATGACGGTACCGCGAATATTCCCTCTACGTCATATAACGTAGATGTTCAAAATTCATCTACGTCAGATGACGCGGGCTAGGCTGCGGTTACAGAGCAAATGTTTCCCACGACATCGCGGTATTTCCCTGCCTTGTCGCTCCTATGAACCGCGACGTAGGCGCAACAAGACGTAATATCGGATAAAAACACTTGCATTGTAACCGCAGTGCTATTGGTAATGTCCAAAATATATTTTTTTGGGTATTGCCAACTGACTGTTCGATCTCTTTCGCGCTACTCCTTTTTTAAATTGCTTGCTAGTAGAATTTTATTTTTTACTTGCTGTATATATGCGTGAAGACAGTTCGCGCGGAAATGCTTGTCTTCACTTAATTTTAGAACAATCCATTCCCACACACCCTTTCCTTTGAAAATGTAAACAGTTGTATAACACTTTTGTTCCTATAGCTCGTATGTACATTAATCAAAATTAATGTATCTACGAGCTCTTTTTTCATTACATTAGTTTAAACATTTCTATATTGCACAATGTCATAATTAAATAACAGTTTTTTGCATTTCCCTCCTGATGGAAGAGACCACCACCTTCCCGTGGTTTCCATTGAGCGGTATCGTGCACGTTATTAATTTTGATGGATCGATATAATTATTTTTTTATGCAAAGTTAAGCCAAATCAAACATATAATATTTAGTTCGTCATAACAAATTGATACGGTTATCTCAAAACATATCGAGGAAAATCATTGTTAATTAATTTCTGCAACTATTAATTCTACTGTTTTGTTTATGTTATAAAAATAAGAACTCTTCTTATTGAAAAATGCCACAGCGTGCACGATACTGGCAAAGAGTGGACTCTCATTTTAATTTATTAATTTTCAATCTTAAAGTATTTTGATTTTCAAAAATCGTATTAATAATATACATACGTACGCTCATACATGGGAATAATAAAAAAAAATTTCTTCAAAATAAATCGTTCAATACTAGCGCCACACGTGTACGTTAAACAAACTACTTTCGAATATGGCCGGACAACGCCAGATTTAAAATTATCGTTTTATCGCAATGAACATTTATAGCAAAATAAATAAATTTAAACTTTTACTAACGAATTCGTTAATTTACAGAAAAATTTATTAATGAAACATAAATAGAAGTTAGTTTACGAATGAATCTAATGTTTTCGTTTGTTTACTCGAATAAAATTGTATGGTAAGCAATAGAAATAACGTAAACAATGTAAAACGGTTTATTAGTAGTCGTGTAAAATTAGATTTATATATGTTTAATTACACTAGCAATGGCGCCGATCCATGTAGCGACCGCATGCGCACCGGCATCTACATTTTGCAAATATTGAACTTGTTTTACGTAGCTGGCTCGTCCCACTCTATAATAAAATAATACAGCGTCAAAGTGTTAAGACTATTCATATTTACAACCATTTATGTAAATACAAAAAAAATAATTTCATACTTGGGCTTCATATTCTTTGTCTCTTCGCAGACCCGCCAAGCTGTTGTCTCCACGGCGACACATATTTCTACTAATTCATTACTCAACACGTTTTCGTAAGTTTCGCACACAGCATTCAGTACGTCGATCTAGAAAATCATTTAAAGTTTATGTATAAAATAAATGTGAAGAATTTTCAAGCAGAAGCTCCTCCGAGGCGAGCAATGCCAGATTCATACCATAGACCTATCTCCTGGTTTGGCTTTCCCATATTTTATTAAACAATTTAAACCACTACGCAACGCTCGAGCCAAAATATATAACCACCCCTCTTCTGGTTGAGCCAATACTAATTCTGCAGCAATACTAGTAAAGAATAAGCAATATAATGCACCGGATGTACCACCCATTTGTTCTTCGGCTACGTGTGCCAATTCAGAGAAAACCGACGAAGGATGCGACAAACAATAGCTATCCAATCCTCGCAAAATCTCTGAAATTAAATATAGATATAGAAAGAACGTTCAACCGAAAGTCTCTAAAAACTTTTGTGCAATGTAATTAATTCCCTAATTTAGTGTCATATAAAATTTTCAATATCGTTTGTTTGAATTAAAGGATTGTTTAAATAATCTGATTAAGTTTTTTTATTATATTAGCAAGTACATACCAACAGCAAGTCTTTTCAGTGTCATGCCACAGTCACCGTCACCACAGCCTCTATCCAAGTCATTGATAAAATCTTCTTTCTCGATCAAGCATTCGCAGGCTCTTTTTAAACACTGTTTCAGTATGTTTTGTTGTTGCGCATTGATTTCTATTCCAACTTGTTTCATACTTCGTGTTACTTTTTCATGGATGGTTGTCCGTTTGCTTTCCAATGGAATACTATATGCACAACCTGGCCATTGTGGTGCATCGGTACGATCATCGAGACAACTGACTAAGGCATCTTTATGACTTTCAGGCAATTTCAAAAGAGTAATATGTATTCCAGCACTGTTCAGCGACGTCATTAAGACCCCCGAATATATACGCAAAAGTTTTATATTCATATTTTCTGTGTCAACAAAAATTCACAAGCAATTATAATTGTTTTTGCTACCTTTTTTATCCCAAAACTTTCTAAGGTCTGTAGAGTCGCTTGAGTTCATAAACTGTCCTAATTTCAACGCAAGATATAAATATTTATAGCAATGGTAGTTGCAACTTACGAAGCTCTTTTGTCAAATTGTAGACAACGATTCCTTGTTCTAACTGACTAAGCGCTCCAAAATTATTAACAATTGCTGCAACTGAATCTCCGCTAACTATGGGCAACGAATCACATATACGTTTCAACATAAATGAAACCACTTCATTGCACGTTCTTAATTTTATTTTCTCGTATCCAGCTTCTCCGTGAACCCCCATTCCACATTCTATCTCGTCTTCCGAAAGCTCAAACATCGGAGGTTGCCCTGAAATATGTGTTCTTAGCATTAATTTTATACCGATCCATTCCATTCTTTTCATCAATCATACATCAAAGCATTTTATAATTAAGTGTGATTCGTTTAAAGTTGAGAACATTTTTGCTTAGATGAAAAGTTATCCGAATAAGAATTTATTTTTGAATTCGTTACACTCTCGACACGATATACAATAAGTTATATTTAAATACTAACCTGGTATAGCGCAAGTAGTTAGACCAACTGCATAAGTGGCCATATTTTTCAAAACAATCTGTGCAATTTCGTAAATGCTTTCCAGCGGTAATCCTCTCTCAGCCAACGCGCCAGCTATTTTACTAACAAATAGCAATCCACTTAGTCCACGTTTACCGGCAACGCCTTGATCCTCGCTTGGTATACTACAATCTTCGTTTACAATTATGTCCGCCACCTACAATTAACAATGATATTTGAGTAGAACGCACTGTATGATTTGTTTTACGATCTCACCTTCAAGCCGGCTTGTATTGCCTTTTCAACTGCTATCCCAAAATTCAAACAGTCGCCAGTATAATTTGGAATTACTACTAACACGCCAGCTAAAAATATTCGACATTTATTGCATGCTCAAGACACTTCATAATTCGATAAATTTATATTACTATTGCAACGAAAAAAACCAACCTAAAACTTAAAGAAATGTAGCTGCTATTTCTAGAGGCCAAAATAAATAATGGAGGCTTCATTAAGAAGTTACTAACTAATTATGTTACTAATTATTTCTCGAAAATGCGCAGGATTTCGGGGCTATGTCTATTCACAAAAAATGGTTGTATTTGACCCCAGAACCTAGAAATAATTTTTTCAGAACGATTTGAAATATTTCTATTTAGTCAAAAAATTTAGGGACTTCCCCCTGTCGATTTTTCTTAAAAACTTGTTTTTCATTTTTAATAAATTTGTTTGGCGCTCTACAGAAAAGTTGTCTAATACTTTTTTGTAGGTACCCAAGGGTTCTGTTTCAGAAAAAAATTTTAATGAGATAGCTTTACTATTGTAGGAGTTATGGCCGTTTGAAAATTGGACCAGTTTTAGGGGGTTTTTCTCACTTTACAGTGTCAAGGCACAACTTTTTCAATATTGTTAGAATTTCTACATATTCACCACTGAAATACGCGTTGTTTGCATTTTGAAAAATTAAAATCGTCCAATTCGTTCAAAAGTTATGAAATTTTAAAGATTCGCATAAAATTTTAACATTAGATTTTCGTTAAAGAATTTTTTTCTCGAAAATGCGCAGGATTTCGAGGTACGTCTATTCACCAAAAATGCTAGTAGTTGACCCCTGTAACTAAATACAATTTTGTTAATATAATTTGAAATTGTTTAATTTCGTCTAAAAATTTTAGTACCTATTCGAATTTTTTTCTCGAAAGTGGATAGGATTTCAGGGGTATGTGTATTCATAAAAAATGATTGTAATTGAGTCCCGCAATCAAAAATAATTTTTTCAGAATGATTTGAAATTTTTTAATAACTTATTAATGAAGCCTCAGCCAAGAAATTGATATTCTTGATTTTCATCCTATTTTGGCCTCCAGAATCTCCCATTAAAATTTTTCCCAGGGGTGGTCGAACACCCTGTATATTTTATAATATGAAAACTCTAAGCCCATCTTTTAATTGTTTTGCAGAAAAGTAATATTTCTATAGAATTGCAAATGGATTATTAATTTCGTATAAATTTATTCTACTTGATGTTAGTTGTAAATTTAGTAACTAAAAATTACCTTCACTATATTCCGAGACACGCTCGATACAATAGGAAATGTGTTGCGATGGTGGTGCAGCAAATATTGAGCCTGCTACAGAAGCAGTTAGCATGCCACTTCCAACAAAGCCTATACGTAAACGGAAATATAACAATGTCATACCGATTATAACAATTTACGGAACCAATCTTGCAACAACGTGACATTTAACGTTTGCAGAAGGGCTTCGAATTATAATAAATAATAATAAGCTTATTCGTTCGATATCATATTTGTGGATTTGACAATTATACATATACTTCATAAAAACACAAACTTTAATAATTTTAATAAATAATTGTGCTATAGTTAAACAAATTAAAATTTAACACAATTTCTATCGCAGTTTTATGTCTATCTATTCCGATTAAAAACTGTCCTTCGACATTTTTGACAGAAATAGTGTAAAAATTAATACTTTTTAACGTGTATTAAATACAGGGTGTTCGGCCAACCCTGGGAAAAATTTTAATGAGGGATTCTAGAGGCCAAAATAAGACGAAAATTAAGAATACCAATTTGTTGATGGAGGTTCCGTTAAAAAGTTATTAGCGTTTAAACTTCCGTCCGTACCGAATTTTTTTCTCAAAAAATGCGCAAGATTTCGGGGGTGTGTCTATTTACCAAAAATGATTGTAATTGACCCCCGCAACCGGAAATAATTTTTCCAAAACGATTTGAAATTTTTTTTTACGTCGAAAAATTTCACACCTCGAATTTTTTTCTAGAAAGTAGGTAAGATTTCGGAGGTATGTCTATTCACCAAAAATGATTATAATTGACCCCCGCAACCGAAAATAATTTTTCCAAACCGATTCGAAATTTTTTTTTTCGTCGAAAAATTTAGGCATCTAATTAGATTTTCGATACGGAATTTTTTTCTCTAAAGTGCGTAGGATTTCGGGGAGATGTGTAATGACCAAAAATGATTGCGATTGATCCCCGCATCCGAAAATAATTTTCCCAAACCGATTTGAAATTTTTTTTTTCCGTCGAAAAATTTCACACCTTTTCGAATTTTTTTCTAGAAAGTGGGTAGGATTTCGGGGGTATGTCTATTCACCAAAAATTATTATAATTGACCCCCGCAACCGAAAATAATTTTTTCGAAACGATTTGAAATTTTTGAATTTAATTGTTAATAACTTTTTAACGAAGCCCCCATCAACAAATTGGTATTCTTAAGTTTCGTCTTATTTTGGCCTCTAGAATCCCCCATTAAAATTTTTCCCAGGGGTGGCTGAACGCCCTGTATAAAGATTAATCAACAAAATTTATTGCTTTAATTTCTATTGAATAAAACATGAAATTACCTGCTGCAAAAGGTTCGTGCCCACTTCCGCCGCCACATATAATAGAAACCTTATTTTTTCGTTTCTCGAGCTAAATTACAATCCATCTTAATAAATCTATGTTTACATCAAAACAAACTGTCGCAATAATTGCGAGATTATTATTAGAGCCGATAATTAAATAAAATAAACTTACATGTGGCATCAGGACGACTTTATGTGACGCTTGATACTCAAGCTGCGGATAAGCATAAGATACACCGAACAGAGTTTCCGTAACAGCATCGTCGATCGAATTAATTAAGCTCTTCATTGTTGTCGATGGAAGCTTCGTAGAACTTGCGACGGAATGAACGTAATGATCCAACAGAAGCGTCGTTTGGGACACACTCGGACCAACTGATTTTAAAGACTGACTGCTACTATTCCCCCAAAGGTTATTGAGTTATCATCAGCTTATGTAACACTTTGTTATGCATGCATTTGGCTCGCGTCAAAACATCGGAGCATTTGATAGATTCGACCCGGCGCCGCGGCGTTGAGTAAGAGAACAGCGAAGATATAAGGATGACATACCAGTTGAAAAAAACGAATAATACAAATAATAAAGTCTCTTTATTTTATTAAGCATTCCTTACAGATCCTTTAACAATTTTTATGTCATCAACGGGTCTGTCATTCCTATCGGTTTCAACTAAGCCAATTCTCTTTACTATCGCCATACCAGTATGAACTCGACCTGTTAACAGAAAGAGTCATTAAATAAAACTTATTTATGTTATGCCACACGTATACTGGAAATATGCTTTGCATTATCACTTCTGCACACACATACGAGGCACTGTTTCATGATATTACTTAGCCCAAATTATAGCAGCAGATATAAAAATGTCTATGAAAATATCATAATTATGATAAGTACTGATTTACCAAAAATCGTATGTTTTCCATCTAGCCACTGCGTAGGTGCCAATGTAATAAAAAATTGCGATCCGTTCGTATCTGGTCCAGAATTAGCCATAGATACTATTCCAGCACCTAAAGAAACAAAATACTCTCGTATCAAATTCGTAACGACTTATATATTATATATTTTTTCGTATATATTAAACATAAAACATGATAAAAATTCCAATAAAATAAAATAAAATATATGTACACTTGTATTTATTGTACTGTTGTTAATAAATAAAAAACTTTTGTTCGTTTCTCTTATTAAATAACTATACGTCTATTATTTAAAATGTAAAAACAGGACAACACATAATTGTATTCCATAACGGTAAATTTTGAAATAGAATAATATTATTAATAATGGACAAACCTGTGTGTTTTAGATCATCGTGAACTTCATCGTCGAAGCATTCTCCATAAATAGATACACCACCTTTTCCTGTTCCCGTAGGATCCCCGCCTGAATAACATTGCATTATATAATTCTGTTTTCCAATATTTTCAAAGGACCAATAAAAGGAAGTTCATAATAATATATCACCTTGTATCATGAAATCTCTAATGACTCTATGAAATTTTGTTCCATTGTAATATCCACGCCGTGTAAGTTCAGCAAAATTTCTACACGTGATTGGAACATGTTTCCAATAGAGCTCGATGGTGATTTCGCCCATGCTATAAAATAGAAACATCGAATCAGGTACATTTACTAAAATTTAATATCATAAATAAATGAAATATAAAAAATATATTAAAATAGTTGTTATGTTCAATTGAAATAGTATCGAAGCAATGTGTTGGAAAGTATTAAAATGTATTCATCTCTATCAATTCTACTGATATAATATGCAGGGTGTAAACGATAACTTTGGCAAAAATCATAGGGTATGTAGAGGCCCCATAGGCAAGTATTTTAAGCATGGGAACCTGTGTCTGGAAATGCACCAGTAAAAAATTACGGTGATCTTTAACTTTGGTCTTTAGCGCCTGATGGATAGAAAACCCATCGTACTGGAAACTGTTTCTTTCGAGGTGGGTCAGTCGTGTAGATGACAAAGATGACAAACATTGAAAGTTTTACGATGAACAACGTAAACATTTAATGAAATCATGGTCAAGAAACAATAAACTAAAAAAAGTTTGCCTACCCATCAGGCGCAAAAGGCCAAAATTAAAGATCGCCGTAATTCTTTACTGGTGCATTTCCGGACACAGGTTTCCATGCTCAAAATACTTGCCTATGGGACCTCTACTTACCCTATGATTTTTGCCAGTTATCGTTTACACCCTGTATAACTGATATAACATGGTATAAGTCTCTGAAGTTACCTACTTACGTTGTTTCAAGCGCTACAAATGGTGGTTGCCAGTGCTTATCGGGAATACCAGATATATTTGCAAGTGCCATTATTTTGTTAAAACGTTTCTCCTAGTGCGTTTCTTTTATTTCACCTGATCTAAATGATGAAAGGTTAGAAAATTCGTTTATCAATTAATTATTGAACATTTATATCTTTTAGTAACGTACAAATTTCATCAGATAAATATATAGGGGCTGTTATCCTGAACTTGACGTCCTCAGGACGATGGCATTTCTATCTCTATTGGGATGAATCGCCATGGTGACGGCAGTGATGGACATCGTGGGAATTTTCCCTCATAAGATTCCTTTCTGCGCATGCGTAAGCTGACGTCACAGTTACCTGTCGTCCGCTACCATAGATGTATCTTTAGCGCAAAAAGAGGTGCATGTTGGGAATTCCCATGTTTTGTACAAAATTGAACTTTCTACTTCAAATGCTCGCCAATCACACGAAAATTAACTTATCGAAGATCCTCTACGTATTTCTCTAGCTATACTCATGTAGATTACGAGGAAATTTTTTGTTTTTGTCTCTTTCTCTGTATCTTCCTTAAATTTTGTTCCTTACTGGGATCCAACGGTACCCTAAATTCTAGTTAAGTGTATACGGCAGTGATCATGCGCTCCAGTGCACATAACCAAATTCCCACAAATGTCCATCACTGCGATGGGACTTACGCGTGCTTAAACCCTATTACATTAATTAACTAACTTTTACTAACCGTAGTGATTAACGATGGATAATTGACAATTGATTAACACATTAAATATAATAATTAACGTCCAAACATGAAATTGCCGATGGACACAACGATCAATTCTCGAACCAACTTGAATATAATATTTGGTGATGTTTAAGAGCGGTTTACACAATCTAGTTATTTTTTATCTGGTAACTAACTGCACATAATACAGGGACGTGGGGCCAGAGTGGGGAGACACACGCTACGCGGACGTTACACAACACACAGCCGACTCTAGTACTTACTTACTAGCCGTGCTGAAGGAAAAATCGCAACACCGCGGGAGTCCGGCTTCGATATACCTAGCCCAACCTACCGTAACAGCCTCCCAGCCTCCCACTACCCACCGGCCTCTGGGCTACATAGGCTCCATCTACCGGCCTTCCGGTCTCCCGCCTATCTTTCAAATGTTTCAAATATTAATGTACCGAAGTCCATTAAATATGAGCAACGGAGCAATAATCCAGGTGTTTCATTTATTTATATTAACTCTACAGATCCTGATTTTGGTGTGTAGCACACTTATTTAATATAATCTATAGCATTTTTGGACATTTTGTTTTATATACATTTTTTTTATAAATTTCACATATTCATTAATAATGCCACGGCGTTGCTGTGTTCCCAATTGCAAGGGAAATTATGATAGTACCTTAAAAGATAATAATTACAATTCTATATTTTTATTCCCCAAAGATGAGGAATTGCGGGAGAAATGGAAGGTTGCTATTCCTCGTAAGAATTGGACACCATCAAAATATTCTGCCGTCTGTAGTTTGCATTTTGCAGAAACTGATATTGAAAGGTACCACGGTATTCTATCGCCCAATGGTGTACTGGAGAATGTTTTGTTGAGATGTCCAAGGCTTATAAGGAATGTAGTACCCTCCCATTTTACAACCGAAAAATTAGAAAAACGATTTGGAAATTATAGACTTTTATCTGGTTGTAATTATCATGTCATATAACGAAATAATTCATACAGAAAAAAAAATTAGATTAAAACATATATTTACAAAATCGGCAAATTCGTTTTCTCTTACTGAAATCAAAAATAAATTTCGAATTTGTGATGACAATAATAACGATCTTCATGATCTTCCCACTGATGTGACTTGTTTCTCAGGAATCTTCGATACCGAATACTTGTCCGATTGTGTTGTAGATGATTCCATTAAAATTTATATTTCTGGTTATGGGTCCCATTCTGTTGCTAAAAAATTAAATTGCAATATATGTCGTTTATTAGTTGTGGAGGATAAAGGTAAAACTGTAGGCGATGTATATTTTGATCGCTTACAAAGAGGGGGCCTTTCTGTCCCCACTGAAGAAGCGATAGCCTCATTTATTCATATGTATGCAATAATGGAAGCCATAATAAATGACGGCAATTTAGAATCTCAATTTTTGCAATCTGGAAATCATAAACATATTTTATGTAAATTAACATATATTAGCATTCAATCAGACATACATTATTTAGCATTTTCAGATACATGCGTTTGTGGTCGAGCTTACCAAAGTATTTGGTTTAAATTATTATCAATTTTTTCAAATATTTTATTAAACGATTATGTGAAAACTGTAAATAATAGTCAGTTGGAAACACGTACAGACATTACTTCTAAAAATCGTAAATTAAAAACTTTTAATAGGAACTAGATTTTCAATGATTTTTTTTAATTCCATCTTTCTTAAAACATTAATTTTTATATATATTTAACTTATTCCTTTCAATATGTTTTAATACATTAATAGAGTTTTATTTACTTGCTTAGTATATTTTTATTATGAATACTATTTCACAAGATTCAAAGTTTTATTAGTTGTATTTCAAGAGAATTTCAAAGTATGTTTTGATATGTTTTGTTATTAATATTATTCAAAATTATTTATTATTATTTCAAAATGTAATACTTTATTTCTTTAAGAATACAAAAGTTATGTTTTTGTTATGTTCTATTTAAAAATATTAATTTTATTTTAGAAAATGGGATGATATGGCTATTGGCGAACCACCCATTATAATAAAAAAAAAAAGGTAACGCGCCATGGTAAATACCCCTAGGGTGGTGAGGAAATTTTTCACAATTATCATACTCTCCTCTAACACGATTTTATAATTAACTCCATAATTGTTCCTTTCAATAGCTAATTATGCTAACCTCTTTTCCACGGGCACTTAACCTGTTCGGCTTCGTACCAATAATTTTGCCTATTTCAGGTCTCTATTAACTTATACATACCTTTATCAATTTTTAAATCCTTCAGTTTGGTTCAAAGATGGTTTTAACTTGTTTCGCACTTCTATTTCCTTGAAATCTTTGTAAATATTTCAAATATAATGCATCACAACACCAAACTATTCCGACAGTCCACAAAATATATACCACATTTATAAATATTAATATACTTCTGTATTACTTCTACTTACTATAGTTATGATATTCATATATTCCTTATACATAATTAATAAAAAATACTGTATATTAGTATAATTTTATATCGCAAAATAACGTTAATTATAATCCTCAACACAAAACTCCACTATTGAAAATAGGACTCCCGATCCGCACATGAGCGGTGTTGCCACGTTCCATAGCACGGCTAGTACTAGAGTCGGCTGTGACGTTACACAACAAAGAAAACTGCATGAAGGCTGGTGTGAAAAACAGTTCACTTATTCGTCAGTAGAGGCGCGACAGCGTGCGCAGCGCCAAAGCTACGGACGCTAGCCACATTTGAACATTGGGAGATACCTATCTATAGTTGTGCCTATAGTCTATAGCATCTATTAACTATTTGTAATTAGGTAGTTACAGCGAATTACATACTGCGTTAACTGTGTACTGTGTGTGATTTTGTGAACACGAGTACGTTCAAGCTCGTTCGCTAGTGCTCTCTTATCATCCCATGACGAAATTCCTAAACTAATTTTACTATGGAGTAAAACAAATTAACGATTCTTTGGTTTACTTCATTAACAGAAAATCTGATTAGGTATTTGTCATTTACTATGAAAAGTGCGTAATTATTTTAGACTCATGTGTTGGGATACGCTGTTCGCCATGTCTACGGATTTTATGAATATTGATGGTAACATAAAAAGGGTGCAGAAAGAAACTTTAACGCCATACAAAATAGCAACTGTCATTTTAATTAAAGAATACTGTAATACAACAACGAAAGGTAATTTGGAAGACGTAATTTTATGTTTCAAATAAATAGTACTAACACAGTAAGATTGTTTATTGCACAAAAAACGAGACAATCACATTTGTGTTTATAATGTGATGTTATTGTTTCGATTTTATCATAATACACTTTTGGATGTAGAAAATAGTAATTAGGATCACAGGTAATAATTTATCGATTTTGATGCATCTGTTTTGTTACAGTAATAGCCGAAAGACGTAATTTTTGTTTGGCTGCATTAAAATTGATACAAGTAAGTGTCTTTGGTTAATGTAATGTTTTAAAAATGAATTACAGAATAACCTGTTTTTATTTGTTATATTTACATGTTGAAACACCCCTTCAGATCATTGTAACATAATTGCACAGTGGTATATTTTGTTAAAGTTAACCCCTTGCACTATGCTGAAATTTAATACAAAGCGTACCTAACCCAAACACCATAATGATCGGAAGGAGCTTGAATATCGGATCTTGAAACACGATATGTCGATCGACGAGATGTTGATATTTACGAGTTCGACTCGTGATATTCATGTTTGACATGAAATCAAACAACGAGCCTGACTCGTGATATTCAAGTTTAGCCTAAAATTTTCATCACGAGTCAGACACGTGAAAATAGTGCAAGGGGTTAAATATGAAATGTTACTTTCAATTAATTTCTTTTTTTGTCTGTTAGTCACCAGATATGGAGCTCAATGCACTTTTGGATATATTATATTCTGACGAATATATGTTATATCGTTTTGGACGTCAGTTGGTAGTACAGTTAAAAATGTTAAATGGAAAGGGCGTTGAAGGATTATTAGATTTATTCGATAGCGTTGTACGTCTTATGAAACCAACTTTGGACAATTCACGATCTTTGCCGGCATTAAATAAAAACTCTGTTCTCGGATTGTACATAAGAAGAATTATTATTTTCTTTGAAAAACTACCTTTCGATCAAGTTGTATCACTGTACGAGGCTTTGAAAAAATATTTAGAGAGAAAGACGAATGTTTCTGAAAGTTCTGATATTTCCACGGGTTCTGAAGTAGAAGATTCATATTTACATGAGTAAGTAACCTTTACGCTGTACTTGTATTTTATTTTACATTTTTCTGCATTATAATTTCTTTACTGTGGTGTCAGAATTAAAACAACTTGGGGTGGAAGACAAGCAGAATTACTGGTCGCACAGCAAGCACATGCACTACAGACGGATGAACACAAAGCAATGTCTCCACCGGAGCTGCAAGTTCTCGTACGAGAACTTCTGAGTTCCAGTCCTTACTATGCAGAAGCTGTGAGTACTGTTTGGTAAGAAGAACATTTTCTTTGCTTGCAATGTAAAAATATAATTGGTAACTTTGTCGTATTGCTCATTTCTTTGTATTTCTCAATGTGTTTCAGCATTATTTAAGCTACTTGAATTGTTTACGAGTCAATGAATACTGCGGAGCTATAGACAGTCTTTATCATTGCTTCGATAGACTAGCTCCATTGGAAAATCGATCAGCACCCGAGGATAGAACTCGTATTTTCAGATATGCTGCTCTAAATTTGGCAGTTCTACACGCACAATTTAATCATAAGTACGTACTTGTCCGAATGATTTTTTTAAATTATCACGTTAATTATCAAGTAAAATGTTAATTCTTTTTTAAGGGAAGTAGCACAAGCTGCTTTAAAAGAAGCTATCATGATGGCTCAAGAAGCTGGTGATAATGTATGTTTGCAATTGTCACATGCTTGGATGTATCATCTGACTAGCAATCAAAAGTAAGTTTTTGAACTCGCAAGGGAAGTTTGGGAACCCAGAAATTCAAAAAATTATGAAACTTTCTCTATCTCTAGAACGCTAAGAGATATTGAAACAAAGTTTCGTAGTGTTTTGAATTTCCAGGTTCCCAAACTTCCCTTGATAGTAATATATCGCTGATACATATTGATCATTATATTTTTTAATAGGGGACCTCTTATAGAAAGGTCGATTGGTAAGGCAAGTATGCTGGGAATAACTCATACGACTGGTTTAGGTCTCATTGCATACGCTCACAATTCTGCTTTAGAAGCTAAGAGTCCGTCACAAGTGTTTGAGGTGTATATTCGAATTTAATTGTAATTTTAAGAATCTCGTACTTATTTAAGATCGTATCATACTTTATTGTTTGTTCGTAGACACTAATGAAATCTGATGTTTTAAATTGTCAACATTCCATGATCGACCTAATGTCAATGACATATGCTGAAAAGTCTGCGTTGTGGACGTATTACGGTAAAACCGAGATGTCTTCGGTTTGTGCGCAATTGCTGCTTTTACATAATACAGGGGATAAAAAGCAGCATATGTTCAACGGACCATCTATTTGTCATGTTGTTGTTAATATCGCAAACATTTTAGTCGAATTTGGTGAATATAATTTAGTCGATGCTGTACTTGCTCATGCCAAGGAGAGATTCCCCAATGAGCCATGTAATAAGGTATTGTTCACGAATTCGTGACATTTTGAAGTGTTATGTTTTTAATTTAACTTTTATAACATTTGTCGTGTTTTGTATTAGGTATGGATGTTAAGTGAGCAACTTTATATATTCACACAATTAATGAGACACGAGAAGTGGAGCGAGGCTGAAACAGTAGCATTGAATATTTCAAGCTTGGATCCGGTAGAATGTAAATTTAGGTACGATGACCATTTGAAGTAGTCATATTTACTAACTGTGTTGCGTTCTTCGACAATATATTTAAGTTCTTCATGTACTAGAGCAGAAGTGTCTCGAAGACAGCAGTAGGATTAAATATAACTTTTACATTCAGATACCTAACTTTTTAGGTTAGCAGAAGTGTGCTTGGGTAAGGGAGATTATCCAAAGGGTTTGGAGTGCATCGACGGTATCGAAAAAGACGAGCAAGTAACAACGCAAAATAAAATACGAGCTTTAATTTTGTCAAGTCAAATAATATGCGCGTCTGTTCTACCGGAAAATGGAATTGCTGGAATAAATTCTCTGGTACTTCTAAATACAGCTTTAGAACTGGCTGTACAAAATCATTTATCATATTACGAAGCACTGATTAAAATGCATCTTGCAAACATTCAGGTGATTGAATTAATTAACAAGCATTTTCAATTCAATTATATCGTTATTAGGATTGTTTTAATTAGTTTTTTTTATCAATGTTTCAGCTGATAATGGGAATGCCAACTTTAGCATTGAACTTAGTGGAAGACGTTATTATTCAAATTTTGGCGCATGCCGGATATTACGATCAGGGCAGAGCGTTCGTTTTGTATGCGAAATGTTTAGTTGCTACTGCTCCGATGTGTAGTGGGGCACGGAAAGAAGTAATTTTAAAGGCTATTAAAGCACTGTCCAAAGCAAAAGATTATTTTACAAAAGTTGAAGCATACGGAAGGCTACGGGCTACTTTGTGTCTAGAGTCTTTATTGTGTCACGAAATCGATCTAAAAATTGAACGGAATCAGTGTGCTTTTGAATTTCGTCAGTTAGATGAACAATTTCTCACTAAACTGGACAAGTTGTCTTTATATTAGAAATTAAATAATTGCAAAAACATGTATTGTTTCTCTTTGTATTCAGAACATTCTACTGTGGAATATAAAATTTCTTTAAAATTCTGCCTTCTATTTATTTTGTATGTGAACGACGAATACCGATAGGCGAGTTTTAAAACGCCGACATTGACAAGGTGAAACGAGAACATAAAACTTAAATGTAAAGTTTCATTGAAATTCATTTAGCAAACATGTTAATAGGCAAAAAAAATTTCTTTTCTTTTTTTTTAATAGTCACAATATGATCTGGGGGTCTTAAAACGTGTATTTCCGCTAAAAACAATTTTCTAAATTCTCAATTTCTCTCCCCAAAAAACACAATGCATCCTCTTCACCAAAAAAACAAAAAACCAGACTCAACTAAAACTAACTATGGGAGAAACTGAACTAAAATTTGTGGATCACATTAAACTTCTAGGACTCATCCTGGACAAGAAACTGACGTGGGTCCCACACATGCGATACTTAAGAGACTCCTGCACAAAAAGACTAAATATAATTAAAGTACTTGCCAGTAATAGCTGGGGGGCTGACCAGGAAATATTGTTGCAAACATACCGAGCGTTGATACGAGCAAAAATTGACTACGGTTCAACTGTCTTCAACTCAGCAACGAAACGTACTTTAAAAATAATCGATCCAATTCACCATACGGCACTGAGAATTTCTACAGGCTAGCATTCTGCTCGAGGCCAATGAAAAATGGCCCTCGAACAAAGAAGGAAATACTTAACACTGAAATACGCCTCAAAAATTTCCGCCACTCCGAACAACCCGACCTTCAACCGTATCTTCTCTGAAAGATTCAATGAATTATACTCCAAAAAACCAAAGTTCCCACTACCGCTCTGTATCAGACTCAACAAAATCTTGAAATCTCCCATCGAATGGGCTCCTACCATTGAACGCAAACAAAGTAAAATAGCTCCTTGGACTATTAAGACACCACCCATCAACTTGAGCCTAGCGGACCTGCCAAAAAATCAAATAGACCGAACAACACATAAAACCAAATTCCTAAATCTAAAAAACAGCTTCTCCCACTGTAACCAAATCTACACAGACGCTTCCAAATCTGATTTAGGAGCAGGATACAGCATCGTCACCGAAAATATGACTATAAAACAAAGTCTCCCCAAATTGGTTTCAATCTTTACCGCTGAGGCATATGCAATACTCGAAACCCTGAAACATGCCAGCATCAACAACCTTAAAAACGTTGCCATTTTTTTGGACTCGATGAGCGTGATAAAAGCCCTAGAAACCTCAAACAGCAACAATAGCCATGAGATCATAACAAAAATACAAGAAGCATACACAGAATTAGACAAAAATTACAACACCGATATAAATATTATTTGGATTCCCTCACATCAAGGCATAACGGGAAACGAGGAAGCAGACGCAGTAGCAAAAGAAGCAACAACCCTATCACCAACCGAAACTACCGTTCCAATACCGTATCAAGACCTCATAAACCATATGAAAAAAAGGTATATTCCTAGCAAACGGCCTGTTCACCGATCGGGATGAGTTATACGTCATTCGATTCGTCTAATTCAATACATTATTGATATGCATTTCATTATCTGCGGAAATTCGTTATTTTTTTATAAACTTGTCGTAAAGTTACAGTAAAAAAGTAAGGTTAAGTATATTTTGACAAGTCCACAGGTGGAAACAAGTGACTGTCGTTACTCTGTTCAAAATGCTAGGTAGTCAAATGCTAATTTGTTAAACATTTATTGAATGAAATTTCTACTATTTCTGCTAATATTTCATTGAATAAATCACCATTTTTCTATTAGGTACATTTACTAAATACATAATGGCTCAGGCATTCGATGAAGTTACTCTTCTTAAAAATATAAAATATTGATAGTATTATATGTTATAAAAAAGATTAAAAAGTGTGTAGCATGCCTCCAAGTGGTTTCAATTTAATTCGTGTAAGCATCAGTAATGGGATCTTCAAAACTGACGCTGTGATTAATTTTCAAGCGACCTCTGTGATATTTTCTATGACAAAATGTTGATTCATCAATATCGACAATCTACTCTACTCTTCCAATTGCTGAGCAGTATTTTTATTTAATTTTAGTTATATAATAATATGACATTGCTCATAATTATATGTTAGTATATATGTTAATTTTAAAACATCTATAGCTGAGTTTGTTTTTAGAAAACCATGTTCTTTGCTTTGCAAATATCTTTATATTACAATGTCTTTTACGTATAGTTTGATCGACAGATCCTGGAATAGTTATTCTGCATTGCCAATTTTCATAACATTTCCACATTGCAGATAGTACAAGAAACAGAAGAAAAGCAGAAATTGTTTCAGTAATCATTTGTTTCGACTGTCATTTCTGATTTTCTTCTGTTTCTTGTACTTTGTGAATTTTGTTCAACTGTGCTATAAAAATGACCGAATTAGTAGTTCCAGAAGTGTGGACCTTATTTAAATTGCACGAATTTTGTAAAAATAAAGAAGCTTAATTAAAATTTTTGCAAGATAAAAAGTTGATTGCCAAAAATCTTAATTGTCCACAGTGTGGAAACGTAATGAAATTAGACAATGAAAATTGGCATTGTAGAAAAACAATTGCAGCATCTCTTAGTGCTTGCAAACGAAAACGAACTTGTGATGTAAAAATATGTGTAAAACGTGGAACGTGGTTTTCAAAAATAAAGCTTTCTTATGAAATGGTATTAAAATTAACTTACATGTTAGTCCATAATTTTGATCAATATCAGATTGTACGAGAATTACAATTGAATAAAAATACTGTTTCTCGATGGAATTATTTTGTAAAACAAGTTATGACTGATTGGCTACAACATTCGTGTGAAGTACTTGGCGGACCAGGCAAAATAGTAGAAATAGACGAATCTAAGTTCGGACAAAGAAAATATCACAGAGGTCATCGTGTAGAGGGACAATGGGTTTTTGGAGGAATAGAAAGAGGAAGTGGAAAAATATTCCTGGTGCCTGTTGAAAGTAGGGACACAGAGTCCCTGCTTTCAATAATTAAACAATAGGTGTTGCCTGGCACAACACTTATTTCAGATTGTTGGAAAGCCTATAACATCTTAGAGAAAGAGGGGTACAAACATCTTACAGTAAATCACAGCTTACATTTCAAAGACCCAGAAACAGGTGCTCATACAAATACGATAGAAACTACGTGGAGGCATAGTAAACACTTTTTGCCTGAATATTGTCGGTTAGTATTTGTAATTTTGCACGTTTTTTAATATTTTCTGTAACATACAATACCATAAAATTTTCTATTTTTAGCAAAAAAGATAATTTCATTGGGTATTTAAGCCACTACGTATTTTACAAATTTTCCAAGCAAGGAAAGGATGATTTATTTAACCAGCTATTAAAAGAAATTGCAGAAATTTCATTTGATTCTACAGAAAACCAAAATATACCAGACCTAGATGATAATGAAATTTAATAATAAAAAAAAATTAATCCAACACACTGCATATAATAGTAATTTATTATATTCTCTACCTGTAAACACTTTGGGGGGGGGGCAATATTTTTTGCTTTTGCTGCATACACTGTCTACCTACAAGTACTGTCTGGGTTATATTTGGGGGGGGGATTGTTGCGGCACATACTGTCTACCTGACCGACTCATGCAAAGTCTATCCGTAACAAAATGATTTTTATGCATACGCATTCTACAAATTCCCGTTCGGCAATGTAGCATTATCAAATTAGATCCATCATTTATATTTGTAACATGAACATAGCAACGATAGTCACTTGTTTCCACCTGTGGACTTGTCAAAATATACTTAACCTTACTTTTTTACTGTAACTTTACGACAAGTTTATAAAAAAATAACGAATTTCCGCAGATAATGAAATGCATATCAATAATGTATTGAATTAGACGAATCGAATGACGTATAACTCACCCCGATCGGTGAACGGGCCGTTTGCTAGGAATGTTCCACTTCTACCAACCAATTCCTACCTGCAATTTAAATAGGAAAGAAAAGTCCATATTGTCTCGCTAAGGTCAGGTCCAGTCAGAGATGCCAGAAAAGCACCGCCGGGTGCACACGCATACATGCCAGATACGCGTACGTGAGCTCGTGGAGTTTCGGAAAGTCGACAAAGGCAAACTGACGCATGCCCTCTTTCTCGATTCTCCGAAGCTGCCCGAAGTAATTTCGGATCGCCTCGTGGGAGTCGAGAGAGAAAGGCTCACATTTGCCTTCTCGCTCTAAACAACTGAAATCCGACCTCCCGTCAACGGCATACGATTTGGATTCTCGAGCCGAGATTCTCGACTGCCCAGGCATTTTTACTTTCCGACCTATGTAGGCGCACATAAGCAAAGTACCCATAATGAAAAAAAAATTTTGTAAAATTTATTTTACGGAAATACACGTTTTAAGACCTCCTGATCATATTTTAATTATTGAAAAAAAAGACATTTTTTTTTATTCCCATGTATGAGCACACATATGTATATTATTAATACGATTTTTGAAAATCAAAATACTTTAAGATTGAAAATTAATAAATTAAAATGAGATTCCACTCTTTACCAGTATTGTGCACGCTGTGGTATTTTTCAATAAGAAGAATTCTTACTTTTATAACATAAACAAAACAGTAGAATTAATAATTGCAGAAATTAATTAATAATGATTTTCCTCGATTGTTTTGAAATAACCGTATCAATTGGTTATGACGAACTAAATAGAACTAACTAGAAACAAAGGAAAAGTGATCCCGTTTGCCAGTTTAATACAAAGTATGGATTGTATCTTAAATTTTAAAAGCACATAGTCGAATATTTTTAAAGGTACAAAACATAGGCGTTTCATTGTAGAACAGTAACATAAGTTAGCAGGTAATGTCATAAAACTGTTTTTTCCAGCTATATCCCTTTTTACCTGAAGTATAAGGTAAAAAGTACGAGCTACAAGGTACGACTATCCGAAAATCGTTCACATTTTATCAATGTAAATGAAGCGGCCTTTCCATCAGAGTTAAATACAAAATTTTGTAATTTCTGTGAAAACAAAACTTTCAGTAAATGTACGTGGTGCTTGAAATTTTTATGTTTTGACTGTTTTTGTGAAAAGTACCATCC